GGGAAAAACATGTATAAAAATATCTAGAGTTATGTCACACATTCTGTAAATTCCAAAATCCAAGATTTGGGATTTTTCTTGTGGAATGTGTTTCCTCTTGAAACAAGTTCAAAAAGTTACATGGTCTGAGTTCGCTAAAGAGATTTATTTTAAAGGTGGCTGGGTTTGGTTTTTTGAGTGGTGGGGTTGGGGTAAGGTCCGGTATCATACATTCCTGTTGCATGGGGATTCCCTAAGTTGGCTTTGGCTTAGGAAGGTGACCTTAATCCTTGTTGGAACAGCTAGCGGAGTGAGAAGAGTATTTTAGATTAATGTGTTAAAAGGCTCACCACCAGGACCGCACAGAGGCATGGCGGGGGGGGGACCCCATTAATCTTGTCAGAGGAAGCAGCTCCTGGTTCTGTCACCGGAGAGCAATCAGCCCTATTGCCCACGTGTGACACACATCAAGATAAATCAACAGAAAGGCTTTCTGGAACAGGTTACAAGATTGAGGGGGGTAACTGCCTGCGGAATGTGGGACATATTATGCGATGCAGGGGAAGAGCATCGTGTGACTGTTCAAGACTTATTATGGGATGCTTAGGGGAGGGACTACACGGAGGGAACAGGGTGGTTTGAGGAGGAGCAAGTATGGGAAAATAGAAGGATAAGGCGATAAAGGGCCTGGTCAGTTGTAAACAAGTGGCTGGTCACTATGTTTGACCGTGCCTTGTGTCAAATTACCACAGCCTGTCCTCTTTTCTCATTAAGCTCCATTTCTAACTGTTTTCCTGGATGAGAGGATTCTGCTGTATTCATGAGTGCATACTGAGGTCTAAGTGCCAGCAACTGGTAGCGGTACCGTAAGTTACAGGGACCTCTGTGTCTGGTGTGCGAGAGACTAGATGAGTGAGAGTCTAAATATCAGCAACTAGAGTGGAGAACGTAAGTCATAGAGGCTTGTGTATCTGGAGTGCCAGTAACTGAGGAGACCGCAGTGCATGTGTATTGTCTTGGCAAGTGTGCCAGTGTGTGGTTGCTAGTGAATATCATGCAGGGGTAGCCAGTGAGTAGGGTAAGAGGCGTGGGAGCCAGGTTTTGAGGCCGCTGTAAGTGTGGGATAGGTACAAGTGAGATTAGAGGGTCTTTGATTTGGCAGTAGGAGAGGTCCAAGCTAGCTGCTGAAGGGACTGTAAGATCTGGGTGTTGTTTTGGAGGCTCATTTGCAGGTGTGTCTCTGAGCGAGGCAACTGGAGATGAAATGGTCCGAGGGCCAGTGACTGAGTGTACTGAATGTCCAAGGCCACTTACTGGGGGATCATGGTATGCCTGTGGGGAGCTGCGTGTGTGTGTGCGTGTGGGTGAGAAGGTCTGTACCAGCAACTGGAGTGGGGCTCTAGGGAGGCTGAGCATTCGGGGTTGGTTCCTGGATAGATTGTCTGAGGGCAGTTACTGGAGGGATCCACACTGTATGTATGTGTATGTTCCCTGCTAATGACTTTTATCCTGGTCAGGTAGGCCAGACCATGTTTGTGTTTGCATGGACACTGTTTTTAGCTGTGTTGATCTGTATGGTTAGCCGTGTGTATATGCGTGTTTGCATGTGCAACTGTGGGAATACATCCTCAGCCTCATCACTGGCTGGACCTGGGGACATGGAATTGCAGCAGCCTAATCTTCATTGGGCTGCCAGGTTCAGGAGCACCTAATGCAGAAAAAAAATTATGTATATACATAAATATATATACTTTCTATAAGTTTGAAGATGTAGAAATAGTTGACTCACACGATTTAAATTTGGAGCCAAATCTACAAAGACTGTTAAGTTGCGATAGAATTTAAAAACATTTATTGGTCTGGTTGATGTGAATAGGGTTACCTACATGAATATCTAAATAGATACATTTGTTTAAGCTGCCATGATAGAGCAGTGGAGCATAAATGAAATTTAAACCTCGGCTTTTGTTGTAGGTGTTTTTTTAAATAGGGTCTTTTTTTGACTCAAGAGAAGTAAAAATAAATAGGAATAAAAATGGGGATCTTTTAGTGATCCAGTAGGTTTTGCACTTACCTTTTCCCACTCTGTGTGTCTTAGAATCATAGTATCACAGAATGGTTTGGATTGGAAGGGACCTTTAAAGATCGTCTAGTCTGACTCCCTGCCATGAGTCATCTTTTACTAGATCCTGTTGCTCAAAGCCTCATCCCACCTGGTCTGGAACACTTAAATGTTTTGAATGTCTTGCCCCTGAATAAATCCCTCTGTAGAAAAGAATGTCAACAAAGAGTCTGAGTGAGGATGCTTACAATAAGAACTGGCCTTCCTTTTAGACATTTTCTGGTTCTAGTCTAATGCTATAGCATTCAGTTATGTTTGCTGGCAAGTTAAAAGACTCTACTTATGTCAAATATCAAGATAGCATTAGAAAAGTCTGTTTACTGTTGGAGTTTATAAACATACGGATGCACACATATATAGTGGTCCAGTCTCTTGATATAAAATTGATAGAATGATGAGCAGATTATTTTAGATTGAAAACTGTAACTGGAGACATTTCATAACAAATATGAAGTACAGCATGAGCATCTGTCCCTATCTGCTCCCAGAAATTCTGTCTGCTTGTAGCATACTGCCAAGTCAACTTCTGATTTCCAAATGTGATGAATGCACTTTTTTCTTTTATCATTTCCAATACATTTAAAGTTTTTTCTAAAGAATATTAATTTAACATAATTCCATAGTTTAATAAGCAGCAGTTATTTTCAAATTATTTTCTTTTTTTCTCTCCAAGCAAGAATAATTTTAACAGCTGTTACAGCAGATAACTGAAATTGTATTGCAAAGAGACACCTAATATTGAGAAGTGGAACAATGGAGACTTTCCTTTCTAGAAAGTGCTGTTGCTACCCTGTGTGCATGTGTGGATTTTTATTTTTTTCCCCCCTTTAATATGCTGAAGGAAGGCGTTGTTTTATTCCACTCCTCTTCCTTTGTGTATTGCAGATTTTCAAGGGACTATGTGATGACAGATGGGAAAAGTGAAAACAAAAAAATGATAATTTTAGTACAGTGGTTACTTTTCATCGTCGTAGGCTGCTTGTGCATATAGGCTTTTCCTTAAGTGTTTTGGGTTTTTGCCTTTTTTTTTTTTTTTGAAGGCACCTGATCTAAGTCTTCATGTATTCTTCCCAATTTATTGGCATATAAGACAATAGAAGAATGCTGGAAACCAAGTCATTTTTTCAGGGCCTGGGTCACAAATGATAATACAGTCCATTTTATACTTTAAGATGTGATGTCTAAAGGCAATTGTTAGTATCTACCAAGACGTAGTACTGAATTGAGGGTAGGCAAGATGTGATTATAAAATTGTAAATGTGCCTTTTCGTATTAAAGAACTATACCTCCTTACCAACCACAGTTATAATTATGTGAATTTGATACAACCTTTAAGTTTCTTGATTTTTATTTTGTACTTTAAGTTGTGTTTCCAGTTTTCTTTCCTTTTTCTAGCAGTGTTGGAAAGATAAGCATATTAGAGCTGCTTTTCTCTCCAGTGATCTGGATCTGCATGTGTGCAGTAAATCTGATGATTTCTGAAAGTGCCAACCTAGCAAAATACACACTTGCTTTCTGTCCTCTCTGCTTTCCCTTCAGGAGAGTGCTCAGACAGAGAGCTGGTATTTGGAGCTCCTGTTGCTGCGAAGTGATTCATGCAGCTTGCCTGGGGACAGTCTTTCTCCAACAGACTCTGCACAGCCAATGAGAGAAGTGGGTGCAGGCTAAATGAGTTGTTTTGATGGCTGCAGCTGTTTTCTGATCGATGGGTTTCATCGATGCTCTGTACATTCCGTGTTTTTCTTTTTTTGGCTCCCTAGCTAACTAAACTGGGTTCTGCCCATTGACATTAAGAATGAGCCTAATGGAAGGAACATCATCAACTTGTTTGTAAGGCTCTGGCTTGAATCCAGTATATATTTAACCGTCAATGTTTTTATAGTTCAGTCAGGAAATATTAGAAAATATCTCGACCCTTTGCAGAGATGAAAAGGCCTCAACAGCGTGAAATCAGTTTGCAAGTGTTTAATATATAAAAATCCACACTTGTTTTGGATATATAAAGCTCACTTTAGGCGTAGATGCTGATTTTGTTTAATTTTCTAAAAATGGTCAGCCAAGTCGTTTAGTTTTTGAAGAGCAAGGGTGTGGCTGAAGTGAATGGTTCTTTTATTACTGGAATACAAGGATTCAGATGCGTAGAAGAGGCCTTGGGGCTGATGCATTTTCTTCTCCTCTTCCTCCAAATGCCTTTTAAAAATGGGTGTTTCTGTATGAAAATTCAGATGTTGTTCTATGCTTTCTTCTGAAAGTCTATCCTCGCTACCTCCTAAAAGTGGAAGGAAAACTGCTCCACTTTGAGAGCAGAGTTACTTTTATAACTCTTCAAAGTCTGCTTGCATTTGACATCTTTTAAAGAATTCCTGTAATATACTTACTCCTGGAGTTTAAGTACATCTCATGACCCTATTGTATCTTGACCTGTAGATTGCCTTTGATCATCATCTTTTAGCTTCATAAAAGACTTAAGTGATGCATTTTAAAGCACAGATTTCTTGGGACAAAGAGAATAAAGAAGTGAACATATATTACAGTTTTATAATTAAGATATTGCACTTTAAAAGTATATGTTCTTGTACAAGTATTGTATAAATATAATATTTTTGTATGTACAGCCCCTATTGTGATTTGTGACTGTCATTTATAATTTTAAGCTAAAGAATTTATGATAGGCCTTGTGTGCTTGATTTATCAATGGTTGTACATTTTTATGTGTATATTTGCATTGCTCTTGTACCTAAATTTCCATGCAAGCCCAGGGGAGCTGAATCTGAGCTAGAACTGAGATCCCTACTTCCAGAGGTTTAGTCCTTGATATCTTCCTGTAGTTCTAGATTTTATTTCTGTGTTAAGCGGCTTTAAGCTTAATGTATTTTTTGTTTGTTTTTGGCAGTGTGTTACCTTCAGGCGATGGCCTCTTCTAAGTCTTTGATGAACCTTCTGACCTTCACTTTTGGATCAGCAATAGGATTTTTTGTATGCTATCTTCTGTTTAGCATTGTACTAGAAGAACAGGTTAAGATCCAGCCTCACATCCTCCACAATGATCCACATGGTCAACACTCGGCAGATACTGATAACAATCAGCTGCAAGGACAAATGAATTTCAATGCAGACTCTGGACAGCATAAAGGTACTTTATTATGCCTGACTGATTATATAATGTGCTCCCTTTTCATGCATTGCAAAATGTTGCTTTCTTCACTGCCAAGAATTTGTATGAATCCTTTTCTTTCACTTTCCCCATGTTCAGGTTACATCTAAATAACTTTTTTCTCCTGAATGGTGGTTTTCTTTGTTTACATTTTGGTTACAGTGGTGTTTTTTTTCCTTAGAGCCCAACTGTTTGTCCAGCTTCTGTATCCAGACTTGTTCGGAGCAGGAACTTCTCAAATGAACTGTTGACACCAAATGGTGGTTTTGCTAAGCAGATATATTTGCTAGCATTGTAGAAGTGGCTGAATTACTCTTTAGCTTTAAGAAGCTAATTTTGGACCACTTCTAACTTTTGGTCTAGCCTCTTAGATAAAGCTATCAAAAAAACCCCAAAAAACCTCCAAAAAAACCCAAGAGGAAACTCACTTTTGGACACGATTAGTAAAACTTGGAATTGGGGCAGGGCAGCAGAGGGGGTCACTGTGGGTGTTGTTTGCCAAGCTGATGATGCAGCCGTCCAAACCCAGATTGCTGTTTGCACCCAAAACCGGAGAAATTCAGTTGGACTCTAATTTTTATTGGTTTGTTTTGGTTTTTTTTTTTGTTTTATTTTGGCTTGGGTTTTTTTTGCAAAGAAGGTAGACTGTTTTATTATTTCAGGTGTACTTTTACATTGGACACATCTCATTAAGTGTGTTCATTCTAAATCCTAAACACAGTTAGTGTCCGAGTTGGGACAGTTTGGATGAGAAAAAATGGACTGTAATGCATTTGCTGAAGAAGATGTTAATAAGCAATTTGCTATCTAAACATATTTAAAGTGCAGACTTTGTAAGACAAGTTTGTGTTTCACATCTAATTGTAGAACGTTGTTACAAAGAAATCTGAAATGTCGTTGCATAAAGTGTAAGAAGGGATATTTTAGGACCAGTTATGCAGATCTCACTCTCCATGAAATATTCTTTTACATGAGTTAAAATCACTCTGTATGTATCAAGTGAAAATGTTTGTTTGAGGGAAATGAATGTTTTCACAGCTTGGATAACATTATATTACACACCTCAGATAACTGTGCCTATTTATTCTGTTGGGTTGTCTGCAAATAAAAACAATTTAGCACAACAATAATACTAGTTTCATAGTATCCTAACTTATTTAATCTGATTTTTTGCAAATAAGATTAAACTTGATTTGGTGATAAATTCTTTCTGGCTTACCATCTGCTTTTTCCTTCAAAAATATGTTGCTGTTTTAGAAATATTTATTAGGTTTTGTTAATTAACATGTATATATATATATAACAGAGCTTATTAGCTTTTTGACCTTTCTGTGTTGTAATCGTGAAGTTGTGTTCATTGTGAATGGCAAATATATTCAGCTTTTTAATTTTCAGTAGTCCTCCAATACCATAAAGAGGTTGCCTTCAAACAGTTTTTATATACAAATCAAGGTTTTCTAAAGCCACGCTTCCCTGAACAGATACCCATTTTGATAAGACTCCTATGCTCTGCTTTATCCTGTGAAGTTGAAGTAGCTTTAAGAATTTAAGCTTCGTCGTTTTGGGAGTCTAGTTTGTTTTCTTCATAAATGTAAAATTAATTTCATTAGCTGGTACATTTGGAAGTAAACACCTGTTGTCTTTCTGCATGTCTTTTCTGATCTAGAAACAGAATGTTTTGGGGGAGGTTGCTCTTGGTTTGTTTTGCAATTGCAATCAAGTTTAATATTGTTTTGGAACTTGCCTCTTTTTTTTTTTTTTAGATGAGAATAAAAATATTGCAGAGGGACTGTATCAGAAGGTGAAAATACTGTGTTGGGTCATGACTGGACCTCAAAATCTAGAAAAGAAAGCTAAGCATGTTAAGGCCACTTGGGCCCAACGTTGTAATAAAATACTTTTTATGAGCTCTGAGGAAAATAAAGACTTCCCAACTGTGGGCCTAGAAACCAAAGAAGGAAGGGACCAACTGTACTGGAAGACTATTAAAGCTTTTCAATATGTGTATGACCATTATTTTGATGATGCTGATTGGTTTATGAAAGCAGATGATGACACATATGTTATATTGGATAATTTGAGATGGCTTCTTTCAAAATACAGTCCTGAACAACCGATATACTTTGGAAGAAGGTTTAAGCCTTATGTGAAACAGGGCTACATGAGTGGAGGAGCAGGATATGTTCTGAGCAAAGAAGCTCTGAAGAGATTTGTTGCGGCATTTAAAACAAACAAATGCTCTCACAGTTCCTCTATTGAAGACCTAGCACTAGGAAAATGCATGGAGGTCATTAATGTGGAAGCAGGAGATTCTAGGGATACAAGTGGTAGAGAAACCTTTCATCCCTTCGTTCCAGAACATCACTTAATCAGAGGATACCTACCAAAAACATTCTGGTACTGGAATTATAATTATTATCCTGCTGTAGAGGTAAGTCCTTAGGAAACTAGTACTAATTTTATGAAGTACATTTTATGATGTGTAGGATGTGCGAATTAGCAGTTTCATAGCAGCTCAATATATTTTAGAAAGAAGATGCAATATCATGTGATACACCTGTATATAGGTGTGTTAAATACACTAATCAACTAAAAGTTGATGCTAAGAACTTAATGTTCCAGAAGATCTAAGGGATCTTAAATTATTATTGTTGTTTTGCTGTGTTGTGTGGACAGTAAAAAATGATGAAACCTTTTTGACACGTTTGTCTAGTGTCACCACCACTACCTTCCTTGCAAAGTTACAGTTCTGTTTTGTTCCCTCATACCTCATGCACAGTGTCCCTAGCTTTTCCTCCAGCCACCCAACTCCCAGTGTGCAGTGAGAAGCGAGACCAGGGTGGTTCATTCCAAGCTGTGTGTGCTGAGTGCACAGAGCTGTGTCAAACCATATGGCTTAGTTACATCAAAGCTTGCTGAAAGGGAAGGTGGCACTGATACACCTGTATCATCCACCCAACAGCAAACTTTGCATAAAACCTGTAGAAACAAGTAATTTTGAGACTTGCTCATGGTTGTGGTTGGTTAAGAGATTCTCAAGTTACTGGAGGGGCTGGTGGGTGATGGTATGCGTGACTGTACTGCCTGCTAGTCTTTTTCCCTGCAAACGGAGATGTGCTGCAATCTGCTTCTCTTGTCACTGATAACAGTGTGCGATGTTACCTGGCTCGAACACTGGTAGCTGCCCTGCCCTCACTTCTTTATTGAAGGTTGTTAAAATGTACACGTAAGTGAATTCTATTGAAAAGATTATAGAAGAATGAACGCTGCCTAGAAGTGAAGTGAAAGCATGACCCAAACAAGGAAATACGATTAGATTTCCTTATGTAGTTGTACTGGACTCTTGTCTACCTCCTGTAGAAGTGGAGGCAAGCACGAGAGATGGCAAAGCTAATTTTAAATTTTGTTGTTGTTGTTGTAGCAACAAAAATAGCATTTACAAGCTGAAATGTTCTTACTGCAAGAACTTCAGATTGTCCTTTGTGTTCCACACCCGAAATAACCAGTTTAAAAAAAAAAAAAAGGAAAAAAAAAAAAAGGGGGAGGTGGGTGAGCAGAACACTACTTGAAATTAAAGCAAAATTAAAGCAGTCTGAAGGTATTCTGCATTGTAAACTTTAATAATCATATAATCTGTAATGTGGCACTTTTTTAGGATTATAATCTCACTTTCAAAAGTATTGTTTTTCAGTTAGCTTTGAGATCAGCCAAAGTGGCCAAAATCAAGGATAGGATGTTGGATTTTTTTATGCAATAAAGCTGAAAAAAAAACCCAATCTGGGCTAGGAAAAACAAGTTGTAAGGAATGTTTTAAGAATGATTTTTTAGTTTTTAAAAATGCTTACTAATGTAAATGAAATCAGTATATTTTTTTTAAATGTTCTAAAATGATTTGTTACAACTTTTTATGTGTAGGAAGTTAGATACTGACAATCTTGTCAAAATCTATAATGTGTGAACACACACACAGGTGCATGCGGACACACACGTTTGACTTATATACTCTGGATGGATGGTGCCATGAATAGCAAGCATGTGTTGTTATATATATGAATGCAGTGCATTTAGACCTCCTTGCTGCTACTTGGTTTTGTTTAAACACCAACATATTAAAAGAAATATGGAAAAGCAAAAAATCTCTGATATTAATGCGGGCAGCTAGTTTTTTCACAGGCTTGATTACAGAATCAAAATACTTTGTCTGACTTTATTTTGGAAAGATGCTTTGGCAGATAGAGCTGATGCATTTTCCTTGCCTAACAGTAAGTTTTGAAGTATGTGAATGACTGATGATAGTGAATTTCTTACCATGAAGTCAAGTATGTATATTGAATTTTTCCTGGATCTTCAATCCAGGGCACGCTTTGCAATTCTTGCTGATTATTTTGACTTGTTTTGTATTTCAGGGTCCTGGATGCTGCTCCGATCTAGCAGTTTCATTCCACTATGTTGATTCCGTGACTATGTATCACTTGGAATATTTGATTTATCATCTCCGTCCATATGGGTATTTGTATCGGTATAATCCTGATTCGGCAAAGAATCCAGAAGAGCAGAGCAAAAATGAAGCACTGGAGGATAATCAAAAGCTAAAGCAAAAAATTTCTGAGAATTAATTGGACTTTGAAGAAAATGAAAAGAAGCCAGTACAATGAATAAGAGTCTCCTCGAACTCCTGCATGAAGCTTGTGGACTAAAATTACTCATGGTGATTCTTATTTCAAAAATCACGTTGGCAGTACTTCCTGTCGCTGTCTGTGTATGACAGAGTCCAGTGCTGGCTCTGACTGTTCAGGATAGTGTGACCTTGCAGCCCTGCTTGTGAAGATTTGGGGCCCTAAAGCTGTGAAATAGGAGATTGTTCTGGTACACTAATGTCTGGAAGAATTTGTATAAAAATACGTAGTGAACGGGTTCAAAGATAATCATACAGTATTTCTGCTCCTTTTTCTGTTCTTCTCTATTTACTTCCAGATGTTCTGTTAGTTCAGTTCTAATATTAGAAATTGGATGCTGCATAATCAAATCTTTCATGATGGCTTTCTCTAATACTCTCAATATCTTGAAGTAACTCTGTCTACCTTGTGCTATAAGGAAGGGAGAGGCCTGAAAATAGTGTGTCAAGTCTGCTTTGCCTTAATGACCGACTGGTTATGAATAGGCAGAGATCCACCAAAAAGATTAATCTGAACTGTTTCAGAAATGGAATTCACTGCTATGAATTATTTTTAATTTTTTGAAGTCTTTATTGTACAAAACATTATGAAATTGGATCACTGCTGTTTTAGGGAGAAACATAGAAATAGTTGCTATTATTTAAATTGCTGAGGTGATGCAAGCTGCTTACATATTTGCCTGTGGGTTTTTGGGTTGTTTGGGTTTTTTTTTTTTGTATTAACTTATCCTGTTGGTTGAATGAATATAAAAGTTCATCTCAAAATTTCTCAGCATAAGATAAGGCAGATGCTTTTTTGTCTTCCATCACACCTTCCATGTAAACCAGAAAGAATAGTATCTTAGTGAAGTTACAATGGTATTATAATAATTTGGTTTGGGCCAGTATTACAATGTTTGCTTCCATGTAATTTTCACATCACTATACTTTGAGATTGTGGAGTTACCTTGTTCATTAAAATTTTGCAGATACAAACAAGTCCTACTTTAAAACTGCAGCAAGGCCGATTTGACTGCTT